GCTTTGAAGAAGCCAACACCAATTTCAGTGAAAAAAGAACTTTCATTTGGTGAAAGTTTCTGTTCATTTGAAAAACTAATAACTACAAAAAATATGCAATTTACTTACCAGCTCTGTTTTAAGTCAGGAACCTCAGTCCTGCAGGGTTTCTCCTCAGAGCTCTCACTTTGCCATGGCTCCTTGAGGCACTGGGTTTGGTTTGGTGTCAGAGCCACCACCTCTGAATCTGGGCTGTGAATTAAACACAGTTGCTTTTCTCTTCTTCCTTTATTCTTTCTCCCCACCCCACGTTAGTATGAGCTGACCATAACATACTAGAAGAAATAAAGAATTACAGTCAGGGAGCGAGGAATTAATTTTTTCCTTTGGAATGGAATCTCCATATTAACTACCAGAAAAAAGCCATGAAAGGAATCAGTGGCTTTTCCACTGCTTTGCACATTGTAGAGTCATTTCAACATTGTAATACAGGTGTCAAATGTTAATAAATCAGCTGTCAGATGCCATCACACACTTACTTTGCACAGGTGTAAATGATCACATAAAATGCAAAGCACTGCTCTGACACCAAAAATCTCTGTGTACCATTTCTGTCTTCAGCAGCTTTACAGAATTATTAAGAAAATATCTAATAGGAAGTTTATTCCTTGTTATTTAAGTTACCATCTTTTCTGACTCTACTGTCTTACTTTTAGGAATGTGGCTTCCCCCCCCGCCCCAGCTGACACCCAGGAAGAGAATGCAACAATTTGTATGGAATTGCTTTGGACTGATGTACAAAGAACAATATTATGTTTCATAATTATGTTCCAAATGATAAAGGATTTTTCCTGCCAAAACCTCTCTGTAAGTGCCCCAGCATCATCAACTGATGGCAGCACAGCTCTGGGAATAAACAGACTTTCAGCTAATGGCAGGAATTGTCAGGGGAAACAGCAAACAGGTATTTCTTCCTGATATAGAATGAAACATATGATTAAAGTTAAATGCCAAATCCTACTGGCACTGGAGCAAATTCAGGCTTATTTTTCATTCCTGTTTATTCTTTGCTCTCTTTTTAGCTCATTCATCTTGTTTCATTTAATGCCAATGGTTTTTCCTTTCTATTTGGCCACTTTGGTGGGAGGGGGGAGCAATTCATTTTGGGCATGTGGCTTTGGGTAACAAGATTAAAGCTTCAGGCAAAGCCCAGATCCTAAAATGAGCACTCCATGCTGTATTCAGCCCTCCAAAGGCAGGGGGCAATGCACTGTGACCCCAAACAGTTCTTTACCACAGTTCTGGCACTGTCCCAAAGGCGTCTGTGCCCTGGTGCTGTGGTACACCCACATGCTGTGACACTCAGCTGCTAATGCAGTGTTTAAATCAGGCTGTTTTACAGCAGAAACACTCTTAATAACCTCAATATAAGGTGTATTGCACTGCAATATTTACTATGAGGGAGCTGTGAGGCAAACCTTGTTATAATGAAACCATGTCTTCACCCAAGAATTCAAAATCACTGAGTTTCCCTCCATTATCTTATTTTAGACTTTTTTTCTGTAAAAAATAAGTATGTCTGGCTCACTATGGGCTGACTGAGGCACACAATGATTAATTAGAGCTGGACTGATTTTGTATAGTTCAATATGAACGTGTCACTTCTGTGGCTGGTTCATCTCCATCTTCCCTCTGACCAGCCAAAACTTATTCCAGAATACTGGGCACTTGCTGTTACCAGGAGCAGCAGGTGTGTACATATGTCTGTCTATCTATCTATGTATAACCCATGTAAGATTGTTGTTTTAAAGATAATGACCTTAAACAAGGTGCTGTCCCAGCTGAGTTGTCAGAGCTGGGTTGCTCTTGGAGCTCGTGTGGCAGAAACACCAGCCAGGGAATTCCTGTGGGGAGCTTTGAGCTCTGAAAAGTGAGAAATTACATCTCAGACAGCAAAACTCTCTTTTCCTCCCACAACTAACCCCTCTTGGAGACAGCCAAAGAACTGGTAGATGGTGAAAGGATATTCACTGCTGCCCAGGGAATACACATTTCAGTGTAGTTTTTGAAAAAGCTGTGCATGCATCTTCAAACATGCAAGGCCAAATGTACTTTTTAAAAGAGTGTAACTATTATAAAGCATCCAATTTGTAAAGTATCAGTTATCATAAGAAAATCTTAATATATGGCATTGTATTTGCTTTATGTCAACAGAATCATAAAATGAAGATGTAGTAAAACCTTACTGTACTTTTAACTGGAACTCAGAATAATGAGAGTCTTTATTTTAATAAAATGAGCTCCAAAAAGCACTTTTTCCCTGCCTTAGATTCCCACACCCAAACATTCATGCAAAGGGTGCTCTGTTCCAACAGAAGATCTGAACAGGTTCAGGTCTAATGGCAAGGGTGGCTGCAAGCTGCAGCATTTGTGCTGTGCTGGCACTGAATTGGCTCATTTCAATTGATTTCTTTGATGTACAAATATAAAGCAGTAGCAAATCATTACCCATCTATAAATACATCATTATAAAAATACTTTTTTCCCCCTCCCCTTCCATCCCATCTTCAATTCATCAAAGACGTCCCTATTTGCAGACAGACCTAAAGTCAAACTGTTTATTAACAGTGATTTTAAAAGTGCCTAAACATTTGTAGTATGTGCTAAAAACTATGAGAGCACATGACCTGGCTTAAAAAAAACCCCTCTGTGAATTCCTTTCAGTCTCTGTCCCTCCTCACCCCATCCCAGCAAGGACAGCAGTGCAGGTGGACGCTGTGGGACTGCAGCTGGAAGCAGCAGCAGGAAAGCGGGAAGCGTCTCCATCAGCATCGTTGCCAAATGTAACAGATCCAAGACCAGGCTGGGAATTGTCCCGTGTGTATTTAGGGCTCAGTCTGTGCACAGGCACAGGAGTGGTTGTGGAGATCAGCTGAGGATGTGAGGGAAATTTGCAACAATTCAGGTTAGCCCACATTTTGTCACGGTACCAAAAATCGTCCATAAATACATTTATTAATGGGCCACTTACTTGCAGGTAGCAATTACTTAGAGCAGCTCAGGTTTTAATGCACAGCCTGCATTTCCAAAGGAGAGTGTTCTCGCTGGGCACTGCTATAGATCCACGATTCACGTGGAGATTGGTCACTATTGATCCTGCTGGGGTTTATTGTGGCAGCAGTTTGCATTACACAGGATTCACAACAGGGCTGCAATAGTGGCCATTAACCTGCCTGTGTTTAGCCAAGATCACCTTGTGTCCAGCCACCACCAGCTCTGCTGGCACTGAGCCATTCCAAAGGCCATTCCCACACAAGGAGATGCTTTGTAGGGACCCAGAGCTGTCAGAGGCAGATGCAGAGGGGCTGTGGGTGCTGCACCCCGACCTTGGCAGTGCCCCCCAGGCTGCAAACACCCCCCCAGCAGCCCACACCTGCAGAAGATGGGCTGTCAGTGTCCCTCTGTTCCACATCCAAAAACAAACCCAAAGCCAAACCCTCCCAGAGCTCCTGTCCCTCCCTGGGTACCAGCACTGCAGCAGCTGGGGCTGTTCAGCTCATGGTCTCAGGTGAGGAGGAGTGTGGTGGTGAAGGCTGAAGTGCCTCCTGCCCTGCTCCACCCCGGGATGGCTTTAACAAGTTCCTTCCACAGAAAGTGCTCATCAGACTGTGCTCCTTAGGCTGAACTGACACCAAAAACATCAGAACTTTGGTCTGCCAATACTTATCAGGAGCCCCCTAGTAAGGACTGGACACGTTCAGTCTCTCAAGTTCATGAGTCTCCTAAACCTCATTTGTCAGTACTTTGATGTTTAAAACTAGTCTGTGATGGGCAAAGCAGAAATCAACACAGGCTTTCAATGCTGCCTCCTGTAATGTGTACATCAGCCACTGAGGAAAAAAGTGCTCAAACTGCCTTTATGGAGATTAAGGAAAAGTGCAAAAATGCTGGTATTTTAAAGAATGAACTATTTAGTTACTTTAAGTCTTCCTAAACTCATGATACCGGATAACTCAGCAAAAATCTCCCTTCTCAGGAGCACTACCAGCACCAGCAGTCAGAAATGCTGCAGCATCCCAATGACTGTTTCAACTCCCTTTTAAAAAGTAAGATTTAGACATAAGGTCCAACCCTCACTTCAGAGAATCACAATGGAATTGAAACTAAAATTAATATATATTCAAAGGTGGAGTTCAAGTTCGGGTGCTGCAGTGTTTTAGTCACACACGAGCTTTTATTAAGGGTCAGGAGGACTCACAATTCCTAATCCTCCTGTTTCTTTGCATTATTCAAGTTTTAATTGTTTGATCAATGGCAGTATGATTAATGCAGTTATTAGAACACCTGCTATAAAATTACTAGGGAACAAACCAATTCTGTACACTGAAAGAATATTCTGATAAGTCCTTTTATCACTGGTAAAACAGAGGCTAATATTTTCTTGAACTGACACTAATTAAGCTAAAAGATTTCTTTTAGGAACAAAAAAAAAATCAGGTGATTCTATTCTGCTGTGTCACAGAGCACAGTCTCACTGCAGAAGTCTGCTAATGAGAAAAAAATGTAGTGCCAAAAATAAAAGAAATTCTGAAAATTATACATATAGATGTAGAGAGGAATAAACATAATCACAGGGAATAGATTCTCTATCACTCTATTTAAAGGTCTTTTCTGTTTTTAAGTGACAGTGATTTAATTCAGGGCATGTGTGGGTAAACATGCAGTTTTTAAGTAAATAAGCATTGTGCCTTTGACCCAGGAATGAAAGTAAAGAGGGAACAGGTGATCACTTAAATTCCACCTGACTCAAATCACCTTTCAGTCCCATGTTTTGAGAAGGGAATGTTTCAGTTGCAAAGGTCAGAATTTGGAACATACAATAATTAGGAAAATGTTTAATACCAACCCACCCTCTTTATTAAGTCATTTCTTCAAGTATTTTTAATAGTGCAAAATACTGGTTTGCATTAGTACAGTTACTATGGGAATTCACAGTCCAAAAAAAAAAAAATCTTAAAAGATTTCCAAAGTCAAACAAAAAACTTTTTAATACTGTATTTTTAGCAAGAACATTTTTAACAAAGAATGTGTACTTTAACTTAATATGGTACAACAGAGAAACCATACTTAAAAGTTTCCATTATCTAACACTCTACTGCATATTCATTTTTCCATCTTAAAAGACCAAAAGCCAAGCTGAACTGAGCATTAAAAAAAAAAAGCATCAATTATAATCCTCATATTACGTCAGCTATTAGGGTTTAGCTCACACTTTTGAATTGGTCATCTAATGAAAGGACAATTTTTACATCGTTCTTTTAAAAAATGTACACACATTTCTTTTTAAAACGTAATATATATCGAGTATCTGCTTCAGTAAACAAAGCTTAATTTATAAACACAATCGAAACAGCTCCATGTTGAACAGTTTCAGTGATAAACTGGACTTGTTTGATGTACAGCCAGTGCAGGACCGGTGTGGCTTAAAATCATTGTGCCTTTGCTATCCAGTAATAGCCACCTCCTAAGGAAAAAAAAAAAAAAGTTCTTTTTGGGATGGGCTGGGGAGGGGGAATAATTCCTGTATGTGCTTAAAAATACTAAAACTCCTTTCTATCTCCGGGGACCTAAAAATGATCTGTTGTAACAGGCTTGGTTTGGTATGGTAAGCTTGTAAAAAGTCTCAGGATGTCTTAATACGGCAGTTTTTCAATGCAGCAACAGTAAATTGCTTGGAATTGTCCTTCAAGTTTCATGCTACAAATCCTGTTCCTCACACAGTACTGAAGGCATCAAAGGTTGGAAGGGACATTTCTCAGGAACTATATAGTCTTCAGATAGTGGTCATTATACATTTTTCAACAGTAGGTGGTTCCTTCAGTACATGATGGTCGGTTTGATGTATGTTCTGTTTTCTGGAGGGGAAAAAAAATGACACAGTTAAAACATTTTATAATTAACTGACACTTTGGTGGCTTCCTCACTCGTTTGTGGACCTCTTTTTAGTTCAAGCCAGATGAACAGATCTATAAATGATATAAACTCTCCATCATGTGAGCATGTTTTATACAGGAAAAGGAGGCACTGGGTGATAAAAACCCAGCCAAGCCCTCAAGAAATGAATGTTTGGCAGAGAAATGAGTTGCCTCGGGGCATTGGTCACCTCCCAGCTCAGGTGCAGGTGTGGGTACTGAGCTGGGCCCAGGACCCACCAGCCCTGCTTTTCATGGTGTTTTCCAGTCAGCAGCTGCTGACTGCAGGCTCTAAATACCTCGATTTGGATTTTCTTCCTTTATGGCTTTTGCTTTTAACTGAACACTCATTTTCCTCCTTTTTTTTCCAGAAGGCAGCCCGTGTTGGATTGCCTTCCTCCCTAGGACAGAGCGAGTAACATGGCACCAGCTTCACAACAGACCCTTATCAGATGCACAGAACCTGCCAGGGAACAGGGTGTTAAACCAAAACTGCAGTGCTTTAAGAAAATGTAAATTGAGATCTGTTCTTAGAAAACTGTTCTTTCATTCACAAACCACCACGTTTCGTTTAAAATTCTATTTCTTTATTTAGAGAATGAAGTAGAAAAACACTTATTTCCTTCATAAATATATTCCTACTTATATTACCTATCAACTGTGATTTTTCACATTAAGCAACTTCAAGCCCAGAGAAAAAAATAAATATTGAAATGCCCACAGAAACTGAAGCTAACAAGAATCCATATTCCTGTTCATTATACAATGAATCATGAATCCACCCAGCTAAATCTGCAAGTACTGATCTGGAAGATGATAGCAAAATGATAATATGGAGAAGCATTTTGTATAATGTTGACATCTCTCCCATTACTGTTTTACATATGCCAATACTGAACACTCCTAAGGATCGAGGAAGTATTGACCTGCTAACTGACACTGATCCTCGGAGCAATCTCCAAGTTTGCCACATTTCAATTTCAAAATGCATTTCAGCTATAATATGAGTGATTTATCATTTAGCAGTAGCTGTCAAAGTAACCTCCTAGATAAAACAAAAACATCTGGAACCATAAACAGAGGAGAGCAGTAGCTGAATTTTAATCCAAATCCGACATGTTCACTTCATTAGGAACAGGAAACAGCTAATTAGTAATTGAATGTTTCGTGGTTTTAAGGAGGCTCAGACTCTCCAAACCAAGATGATTTAATATGTATTTTGGACGTAAGCACAAATAAAGATCGGAAGAGCCAGGGACATAACAGCTCCAGAGGAACATTTGGGAGCATGGGAACCTCCAAAGAACTCACTCAAATTAATTTGTTTTAACTCTTTGGCTGATGAAAATTATTGTCTTAAACTTAGTGGGGGAAATACTCAAGCCTGGGGAGGGGGTGAGCAGAAATGCAAGTATTGGATACTGTGGGGTTTGTTTTTAATTTCTCTCCTTGTGATCATTAAGAAGCTGCACTCGACACCTTCCCAATGCAGGCTGTTCTTGATATTTCTGTTATATTTTAAAAAATATTTTTCTAGCTAAGGTAAGAGGTGGACACTGAGGGTACTGAGTGCTGAAGGACTGACTAAATTTCAGAACATGTTTCCATATATCCTTCCAATTTCCTTAAATTCTCTAGGAAAGTTCAACAGAGGTATCTGGAATACCTGTAAGAGACAAAGTAAATGCCACAGCTCAAGCCCAGTGCAGCCACCCAGGGGATGTCAGTGATCAGTGAACAGAAAGTGCACAGTTAAATATTTCCTTTTTTACAACGCTCTCAATTATTCTCCAGAAATTAAAACACTTTTTTGTTGCTGTGCAATAAACTGAACTCACGTCACACAGCAACCACCTCTGAGGAATTAACGTGTTGGGAGCAGCTGTGCCCCCACTTACACAGGAAAGACAATGTGATGTTGTCAAATTAATCTTTTCTGGAGAATATTCACCATCTCCTCAGTGTAGCTGACTGCAAGCTACAGACCATTTTATAGCATTTTACTGTATTATATAGCAAAGATTTGAATAAATCTGTGTGCAATAAATGTATTCTTTTATAAGGTTTATCCCTTAATCAAATATTCATTTATGTGGGCTTCATTCTATTAAAAACCGAAATTATACAAAGGTGAGCAAAAGCGTAGATTTACAGTAGTTTAAAGCCTAATCTCATTCTCCAGGGGTAATACTGACAATATAAAAACTGTATAAATGATATTCCCTAACACTAAATATGCTTATGAGCCCCCTGTGCATGTTACACTGCTTTACAGCCTACAGAGCAATGCATGACTGGCTTAATAAGCAAGACATTTAGAAGGGATTTTTTTCCCCTTCACAATGTGTAAGACAAGTAAAGATCTCAGAGTTCCTTGGTGAGCCAGAGCCTGTGTTAATAATTACTGGAATTTTCCCTCAGGATGGCGTCCTCTTCCCTGAGTTGTTAGTCCAGGGTATATTCAGCTCTTGCACTCTTTTTAGCCACAATATCATCGTTCAAGGTTTTAATGTGTGTATAACAGACAAATCCAAAGGCAATAATCATCACCTGCATATTTATTCACGTTTATTTTGTTTTCTTTTTTCAGCCTATTCAACATCTCCTAATTTTCTGAATCCTTTTTGAGGCTCTGGTTATAAGACCTCTATTTTAAGTTGAGAATTTGGCTGCATTTCAATAAAACTACATTAAAACCAAAACTGTGTACCCTCCCAGTGTGCCCTGGCAATGCTGGTGTGCAAACCCAGTCCAGGTTGGGGAGCAATGCACCACAGCTACACCCTGGGATTGCCAGGTAACTGTGGCACACAGTAAACTGGTGAAGGGAGGAAATTTGGGATCTGCTTCGTAATGAGAAAACCAGGATAAATGTGTTGTATCAGTAACTGTTTATAAAATACACCCCAGCACTACAGGTTGTAGAAATGAAATAATAAACTGGAAATGCCACTTTGCCAACTGAGCTGGAGGAGGAGCTGGGAGAGAGCTTGAAAACAGGGCAGGTGGAGCTGGGACCTGGCAGTTTCTGTAGCCAGAGAAGGGGAGAAGGCAGCCCTGTGCCAGACAATGCATTCTCAGAGCCTTTGCACAACTCCTGCTGGAGGGGCTGGATCCAAGACTCTGACAGGACACCACAAGTATCCTACAGGACAGGAGTTGAGCTCTCCACCCTTGCCAGGCTGTGTGAACAGCACCTCAGTTAGATCAGAGCCAAGCCCAGCCCTGGATGCAGCAACACGTGGGAAATAACAATAAATTAACTTGCAAAGCTGGGGCTAATTAGTTTGAACCAGTCTCTCATTTTGCAGAAAGAAAAAGAAAAAATGAGAGAACAGTTTGGTTCTACTGTGGATCACAGCCCTCAGAAAACCCTCTTTCCCTAACCCTCTTAGCAGACAGGAGTCCTGCCTGCCTGGAAGGAGGCTGCATCCAGGCCTCTGCTAGTGGGTAAGGGCCACAGCAAAGGATCCCTTCACTACCACAATGAAAAAAAGACCTGGCTTGCAACCAGCTCTCATGGATTTGGGCTGGTCACTCAGCTGAATGACAACAGGAAAACTGACTTCTTTGCCTGCTTATTAGTTGTCCAGTAGAACTTCTCCCTTCCTTTTATCTGCAGGTATTGTCCAAACTGAGCATCCAAAAGTAACACACGTTGAGCAGGGCATGGCTTCCTCCAGACCCATGGAAGAACCTGGACAATAAATGGTGCTTCTGCAGGAGTACTAACCAAGGTTGGTTTGCTTTCTTTTAACCCCTCACACTTCCCTATGGCCTCTTTCCACCTGCTGATGTGCACTCTGATGTCCAGTGCTGCCTGGACATCTCCCTACAGGCAGGAGCACGCCTGCCTGACCCTCCAGTGCAGCTCACTCACAGACTTGCTGGGTTTAAGCTTTCTTCCTCACTTATTCTGTGCTTAGGACTACTCTGTCAAATATTTCCACATAAACATTAATAGAGCTGAAAACATTTGTACTAAAAACAGGATTTCCAGTAAGTAACAACAGCCAAGGATAAGCTCACTGAGCACAGACCATGCAGATGCTGGATTGCCACAGTCAGTTTGAGCAGACAGGGAGGTAACAGTGGTTAGTGGTTCCTGCTTAGGAAATATTCAAGCCTACAGACACTGAATTACTGAATAAATGTTTTAGCCCTTTGTAAGGACAGACAGGTCCAGATCTCCATGCTCAGTGGTCTCCTGGGGAAACCTTTACCCACCTTCTGTTTCATGTAAATCACAAAATCTCAGTGCCCTCCCTCGTATGTTTGTGTGTACAGGCTTACACAGAGAGAGACACCCAGAAAAACACTGTGTGCCAAAAGGAAAAACAGCACTGAGACTAAAATGACTCAGCCAGGGCAGGCACCTCATGGCTCCTCACTGAACAGGGACCTGCTCTTGGGGAGCAGAAGAGCAGCTCTCAGCCACACTGGCTGCTGTGTGCACGGGTGTCACAGTCTGGTAGCTGCATAGGATCTTGAGAAGAGTTCTTCTAGAAACACTGCACAAGGCAACTACCAAGGGTTTAATAACACAGAGTATCCAGAGCAGGACATGCACCAGGGACAGAGCCCAGCTTGGGCAGCAGGAAGAAGAAAAGGTCCAAGACTCAAACGAAGAAGGTTGGATTTATAAACTGAGTGGTTGGATCAGAATATTGAAAAAATATGGCACAGTTTTCTTCATTATAAAACCCCAAATAAGTTCCAAAAATCCAAAAATAAAAAGTTACTCACTTTTTAGTAACTGAGAGGTTTTGTGCCAAATCTCTGCCAGATTATTTCACAAAAAAAAGCAACAGCAGCACCTGCCCTGAGTCGTCTCCTGTTGTAGGTACAGTGAAGTGAACCATGTTCTCACCTCACCTGTCTGCCTGTGCTGCTGCCTCCTTCTTGAAAATGCAGAGGATTTTATTTTTTTGTAAATTGTTATCATCAAGTATTACAGTAACATCTAATTTTTAAGATTTTAAGCTAACATTGCTCTGCTGATTGTTCCAATATCCCCTAACAATGAAATATCGTAATACAAAAGTTAACTAAGGTATAAACATGCAAAAGGAGAAGTCTCCCTGCGATCATAAAATGATGTTATTTTCTGTTCAGCAGTTCATGTTACTGCTGTTCATGCTAATTAATTAAAGGAGCTGTTGCTGTAATGTGCAAACAGGGAATCTGAGAAACTGAGAGGGCTTTTAGGTCTCGGAGTGAAGTTAAGTCAATCTGGGCGCGGGCAATCAAATGTAATGAAATCACTTGTCAGTGCTAAGCTTGCAAAAACTGTGAAGTTTGACTAGGGAGTAAAAGGATTATAATTAGATTTCCAATAGGATAATAACTAAATGGCAGAAAGCAGTAAAGAGAAAATATTACTTTGTTAGCTAATGGTGCTGCTGTTCGGTTTTAGTTTTTATCAGCACACTTGTAGTTGTGCTAATTTAATTTGCTTTTATCAGCAAAAATGCACTACTCGAATGGTACTTGAATGTCATTTGCAAAAATCATTGATCTGAAGGTGCACTTAATGACATCCAGTATGTTTATTTTATGTGAAAGGGAGACTGGTTGATAAAATGCTTGATGTACTATCGTGCTGGCCCACGAGTGAGCGATGCAAAGGGGAGCAGGAGGGTGTCTGTGTGCTCATCACCCGCTCCTACTCTGCAGGAGTTTCATGACCACTGCAACTACTGCTGTTCTGTCAGCTAAAAACCTCCCAGATCAGGTTCTGAACTAGAAGATTCAGTACATAGAGGATGGAGGTATCAGACTGTAAAGTACAGAAAAGTTTCAAGTCTCATCTGCGTGAAATTTCCGTTCAATTAATATACAAAGCAGAGAGAAAATGAGTCAACTAAATGGAAAAGATTTATAATGCAGATCAGAAATGCAGTACATGAACAGCTTGTGTTAATAAAATCATTTTAAGAAATGAGCATAAAATATGATATGACTTAATCACTGTGAAAGGTGGCTGTGCAGTAGTTCTGTAATTTTCCTTTAAACCGTCTTAAGGAGATACTGGCAGTGGAACTAATTGAATTTCAAAGGAAAGGCACCGTGTGAATGATAGATTTCTGTCCAGCAGAGCTATTGACAACAGAAAAAGAAAGGTCTGCATTGATGCTAAAGCCTTTTTCTGTGCAGTAGAGAGAGATTTTGGAAGCTTGGAAGCAGCTTTGTATTAGGGACATGTGTTTTGACCCTTCCTCCTCCCAGGGCCCGAAAAACAAAGGTGGCAAATGAAGGGGCAAGGAGGGAGTGTGCTCGAATTGTTAAAGCTGGCAGTGCAATAGTAGCTGTCAGGAGCACAAATGGGAATCAAAGGGAAAGAGAATAAAAAGTTATTACAGTATCAGCATTAAAAAAAAAATGAAAGAGACGGTGCTACAGGACAGAAACACTTTGAAATCTAAACAAGCTCTACCGAGAGCTCTTCAGAAACCCTTTTATCAGCTGAGATGTGTAGTGACCAACTGGCTCAGCTGCTCCCCACGTTTCCATATGAGCAGAGAGCTCAGACCACTGGAGCTGCCAGTCCCTATGGTGGGAAAGGAAGGGAAGGGAGGCTTTGCTATGGAGGGCCATGGGACAGGGCTGCAGCTCCCACTGCACAGGTCATGCACTGAGCCCACAGACACTGAACACTGTGGATACACAGCTGTCCCTTTGGCCAGGCTTTTAACCTGAACAAACACTTCATGAGCCAAAGCCTGTTACAACTAAAGAATGATGTTGTTGGGATCAGATTAAAAGAAAAGGGGGGGGGAAATCCCCCAAAACAACCTGAAATAAAAATGGTAAAATCACAACATTTTTCTGTGTATTAATAAACTACTAAAGGTAATATAAGAGAGTTCTCTTAATTCCTTTAAGTAAATGGTTGTTGGAATTGGCTATGCATCACTTTCCTCACAGTATTTTTAATCATTTTTGATGTGAAGACACATTTGAGCCAAGTGTAATTTTTTTTCTTCAACTGAAAACTGAAATTACCTTTCTTTTCTTTACAAGAGTCTGCCCAGATGTACCTTTGACTCTCAGAATTGTTTTGGAAGAGTACTGAGCACTCATTCCAGCAGGTATCATGAATAGAGCAGAAACAGGAACATTTTGCCTGTCAAATTTAAACACATGTGTCCCAACTGCTTATCCAACATTTAGACTATCTCTGGCAGCAGCAATTTTCCAATTGCAAAATTTAGAGCACAACTCTAATCATCTGTGTACATATATATATATACACACACATATGTTATATGTATATATAGGCTTTACAATAAAGCTGTGATTCTCCTTCTCTGTAATACAGAGCATATGAACCTAAAATCACAAAAAAAGAGACAACAGTAAAAATATTTGAAAGCTTTCCTGTACGGATGACAGATGGACGACAGATGCACACCAGAGGTATGTGAAGTCAAGCCTTCACCAGTTGAGAAATGCTCAAGTGAGGTCTGTGTCTGTAACTGCACTGCAGCCCTTCTTCTGTCTGCACAGAAGGGACTGTCTTTAGTTACCTCAGCACACGGTATTTTTGCACATTGCCATTACATGATGCCGTAAAAAGGGTGGAACTGCTCTTAGAACAAGCAGATATATTGAAAGAGGCAGCAGCCAGCACAGAACTGAATGGTCTGGAATGAATATGGCACAGGACTGAAGGGAGAAGAAAAAGGCTGGTTTTACAGAAAAGCAACTCTACAAACTGGACTTTCTCCAAAGTTACAGAATTTCAGTAATTGCTCAGACCAAATTTTATCACAGGTGACTGTGTGGCTCAAACAGGCTTCCAATGGTACTGGGAAAATCCCTTAGGACTCTGATAGCTCAGCTCCCCCAAAGGATGATGAGACAACTCCTTACACCACGACACATGTATTACTCTTTGGGAAGCACTCAGACAGTGCATGTTGGTGCTGAACAGTGAGGAAAAAGGAGCACTGGTTAACTTAGAAAGTGAACATGGCTTTCTTTCTTCACCTACACTTCATGTATTTTCTGAAAATACTTGTGATCTTGATAGGCAGGATCAGGTGAAGTATTTTAAAAAGACACATCAAATGTAACCCCCCTTTTGAACTAAGAGCATGTATCTGGTAGATAAATATGAGGTTCTCACACCTGTACTTAAACAAAGTTGATTTCTGGTCTTGTTAAGTACTGATCTTACACAGTTTTCTATATCAAACAGGAAAGCAAACTGAAGTTGTATAATTCACATTTATCTTAAAGCAGAAAAACAGATACAAAAACGATTCTGCAACACATTTAATTTTTACTGTGGCTCACAACAACCAGGTAGGTGAGGGGCTGTGGTACATACTGCACCTTGCATTGCTGCACTGTCATGTTGGGTTCCGTTGTGTTCTATTTCCATATCTGGGATTCCAGCATCTGAAAGATGTGAGACTGAAGATTAATGCATTCCCCTTTGCCCCTCTCTCATGCATCTTTAGAAAAATATTTATAGCAAACTAGGGTGATCTCCAAGTTACACGGTCTTGCATAAAACATTTGGTCCTCATAGAATTTTCAGTAGTAAATTGTCTCCAAAATGTGCAAACATTGTTGGTCTCACAGTGAATTATTTTTAAAGTGCTTCACATTTGTCTGACGATCAGATAATAACCAACACGTGGCATTAGTATGTCTGTAAAAGCCTCTTGGAGAATGAGGGCATCTGACATATGAAAAATAAAAGTCAAAATTAAACTGCTTAATATTAAAATACATTGACTCTCCTGTACAGCCAAATACCTTCAAATTAAAGAATTTAAGAATACATTCAGTGCCAGGCAACAGTTTTGTGTATGTGTGTGTATCAGTTTGTGTGAGTGCATGTTACAGATAAGGGCTGTGCAAATTGCATTTAAAACCTCAGCTCAGGCTGTGTAAGCATGTGTTACCACCCAAACCCAAACCACATCTGTCATACTGTGTGAAATATTTCTGATTTCTAAGAGCTTTCCAAAGAGGACTGTGCCCTTTCTTCCAAGTTGAGAAGGAGTCTCCTAACGATACTCACTTTGGAACTATTTAATTCCATATTGACAATACTTCTGTCTGCACAGTCCTTGGGGCGGGGGCGGGGGCTCCAACACCCCAGGGTGTTACAATAACAGATGCCATTATCCACCTTGTGCCAACAAGGATTAGCATGAAGGGTATGTGATTTGAATCCACGGCACCTCAAATCCTTGAGAAACATCTGCTTCCCTTATAATACAGCACTTAGAAATCACAGCAAGGAAAAACCCACACCTGAAAGGGAACTGTGTGTACAGTTTGGGAGGTTTTCTGTGCAAAAGCCTGTCCTGGACTTTCTCAAATAGGGAATAACTGCACTGTTGCTTTTGCAGATCCCTTTAGTTGGAGTGTCAGTATCTGTCACAGGTGACATTCTGCTGGTCACCCCACAGTACCAGAGCTCTGTGTCAAGCAGGACAACCCTGCAAAGTCCTTACACAGAAGGGTCATATCTTAATATATGAGTAAATGAAATATAGGCCACGTATGCATATATAGCTCTGTAAAGATATATGATTAAAAAGTAATATTTTCACATATATACAATTTTTTCTTATAAAATTGCAAGTGACTGCTATTCCATAGGGTTTCCCTTACTCAGATTCCTGTTTTGAAGGCAAGCCCAGGGCACTGATCTATCAGTCTGAAAAGGTTCTTTCTTTTCAAACCCTTCAGAGTTCATGTTGTATATACAAAAAATGACAGTCATCTGTAACTAATAACAGCATCTGTTAAATGAGACAGACCGTCAGAGTTAAATCAAAAATACTCAGAATAGCCCTTCACATTTTGTTGTCATAAAATTGTACCTGCAATTAAATTGTGGATTAAGATGCTAATGAGCTACCTGATTTGCATGTGCAATCAGATTAGCATGTAAATATCAGCCTCTTGCAGGCACTAACACATATATGACTACCTGAGTGTGCCTGCAAATCAAACTGTTACAGCCAGGCCCACACCAGCAGATGTAAAGGTGTGTTAATCACACTGATGGCACGTTGGCATCCCTGGATTTGTGGCTCCAGAACTGCTGGGTGCTCCTGACTGGTGTGTGAGCAGCAGGTGCTTCCCTGCTGTGGCACAACCTGGGTGAATGACCTTACAGTACACCAGGATTTTGGCTGTTTTCTGACATTCATCTCAAGGTGTTGGCTCTGACTGTGGATCCAATGTGGGCATTTGTCTGACCCAGAGGAAGAAAAGATTTCTGCTGGCTCTGTCCACCCACTCTGCCCTGGGTCCCTGTCCCCCATCATGGTGTGACTGCAGCTGTAAATCCACACCTGGACCAGCCCGGGCACTGTGGGGGCTCCAGGAACACCAGCCAGGCCCTGCTCACTGTGATGTGCTGGGCTGGAAACCCCAGCAGATGAGGATGGCTCTGAGAGATCCTGCTCTCCTACTCACTGAGTTTATGTCTCTTGGGTGCTCCAGATAAATCACAGCTCGCAGCCCACCACGGAGTGAGGTGCCAGCTCACAGAGACAGCCTTGCCCTGACTCTAAAGAACAGTCTGGGCAGCCCTCACAGCTGAGAACTCCACACAAACTACAGTCAGCATTTTCACTCAGCAGTCCGGGCAGTTTTTGGTTGCAGGCTCTAGCAGTGCCCAAATCAGGCAGCACAAATTAACAGACAGACCACAGGACACACAAACACAGCACAGCCTGAACATCTCTCTGATTCCTGAGCCTCTGCAGAGACTTCAGGGTAGGGATGCACAGACTAAACCTTAGATACAGAACCTGAAATTAATTAAAACTCAACTAGGTTCAGTCTTAAAGATTCAAAGCAAAGCTCTAAACTTTGGCCAGAACCATCTGAAGCAGGAGAGGCAAATCCTCCCAGTATTTAGAACATAAGCACTGATGAACTGATTTGCTTTTGTCTCAAAAGAATATTTGGGAAGTATTCAAAACCCAGTCAGCTCTGAAAGCTGATACATATTTAACAAACTTAATAGGTCCTGAGGCTGAGCAAACTTCAGCCAAATGGCTTTTAAAATGAAGCTCAGCAGTTCTAAAAATGAATCTGCTGGGAGAGAAGAGTTCAGAGAACCTTATAGGAACCAAATTTCACATTGTCTTAGCTGGCACTGTAACAGATTTCTCTGTAATATATTCAGCATTTCTTGTCATCTCTGTGTAAACTGCTCTGTCTGTTTCTCTACTTGCAGACTTATTAATTTTTTTTAATTCATGACCCAGAGCACATGGCCTGAAATAGATTTTTTATTATTTCAGGAAAGAATTGTGAGGTTTCATTCTGGAATTTGCTCTGTGCATCATCTTATTTTTTTTTCTCCACTCAATTAAACATCATTTTAAGCTGACTGTGAAAGGCCAACTAAGACATTACCATTTAACATCCTGAGACCGTCACCTGATGTGGCCTGTTTAAGCGCCTGTTCCACTTGTTCTCTCCTCTTAGACTCAAATTCCAAAGCTTCTTGCAATTTTCTCTTTGCCTTCTTTTCTTTCTTCAAGCGTTTCTGAATTGTTGCTGAAATGCAAATACATTGGAAGAAAGGCTGTTAAGGCACTATTAATAGATGACCGAGACACTAAAAAATTTGTTTATGTTCAATACTCAAAGGCCCAGTTCTAGCTCAAGACACTGACACTCCTCATGGATGGAGGAAGTCTCCTGAATGTGTCAAAGATTCAGTTTTAGGTCTATCTTCTAACATTAAAAGGAAGTGGATTTTATTTTTGCAGGTGAACTGTCTGTGTGCAGTGGAAGAGAATCTGAATCTGAGAATACTGAGGGTGCAGAGAGTGAAATCCCAGGGAATAAAGTGGTAATTTTGGGGGTAAAAATGGAGCAGCAGTTGGGTTCATTTTGAAGCAGAATAACTGAAATATCAAGAACCTCTGCCCAAGACAGAAGCCAGGTGTAAGGCCATTGACACGCTGAGTTAGGTGGGTAAATACGAAAGATGAGACGCACTGAGAAGGGGGGTGTCATCTTCTCTCTTTTACCCATGGAAAGCAGAACCAGTGCCTTGACAAACATCATCCTCAGGCCCCTGGTAGTGCCATGGGAGATCTGGCAGAAAACAGTATTCCTGACTAATCTCAGTCTTAAAGCCAACTATAAAGCTAAAACCATAACTAGAGAATTGTACAGTATTAATTGTAGCCAGATGATCAATATCTGTATGGGGAACTGCTGACATTGGCTATGATTGTACTCCCTCACCTATATAAATTCAAGCAATAAAATGCACCTTTTAAGCCTTTTCCTTTTCAAACCCTGAATCTTAATCCCATATTTAACCTTTTTTTTTTTTTTCTCCAGACCCAAGTTACCAGTACTGCCAAGAGCCCTCCTTCCCATGCTCCTGTGGCTAATGGACTCCCCTTACTGTCCTTATTAACCTGTCTTTATTGGTTTCTTACACTTGTTTTTTCTTGCACCACTGCTGCAAACACACTCTCTTGTGTCTCTTCTTCGCATGACCTGCACCTCCCTTCCCTGGCAGGATCTCTACAGGCCCATCACCACACTTCTGCTGAATCTATCCTGTGTTCAGGAAATCCTCTCCTCCTGGGAGCACCCCATGTTCCAGGAGTCTGTGATCAGCTGCCACCTCGGATTGGCACAAGGAAGATGAGCTGGACCAGAAGGCTGATGCCCATGTATGTTCTCAGAACTAGCAAGGTCTGGAAGGAGTCAAAGACCACTGAATTCTTACTGACTTTTACAGAGCTTTCTGGATTTGTGAAAAATAGGAAAAATTAAAGGATACCATTGCATGGGAAATCTCTGAGGGACTTAATAAATGATGAATGGTTGAATGTGATCCACAGAACCTAACTTTGAAAAACTGGCCAGCCCATGTGAAAAAGCCTATCTCTGGCATATATTCTGTAACAATAAAGATGTGAACGTGGTGATGACCTGAAAGACAAACAATTCTGATGATATCGATTATTGGTGAAATTCTCTTTCAAGTCAGAAGCCAACAAAGTCTGTGAATGCCTTAAGGTTTTTGGTGACTTAAATGTGACTCAGGAGGTGCAAAAGTGTGCTGTCCTAAGGTTTGGTTTACAGAAAGACACAGTGCCATCCACACTTACACTGGGGTGATGCAACATTTCTGGACACCCACTGCAATTTAACAACTTCAATAGTATTTTCTGACCCATCACTACTCAACTGAGAAGTGCCCTTTGGTGTCTCTAAGTGAGACCTGGGCTGCAGACAGCTCTGTTCCACACACCTCATTTCCACTCAAAATGCACAGGAAGATAGGACTTGGCACCTACATTTTTGGTCTTATCTACTTTTATCTTTCTGATTTCATGGATATAATCTAGAAGTAGCTCTTGGCACATGAAGTACTGTTCCTTTCTTTCAGATGCAGATCTGAATTTTAAAAAGAATACTGCCTTCTTTTCAACAGCACAGCGAGAAATTCAGATTTACCAATTTAATTGCCTATTATTATCAAAAGCTTCCAAACAGTCATGGTTTTGTCTTAGAAGGCCCCATTTGGGGTGTGCTATTGTATTTCACTCTCTCCTGATGGCAAAAAAAATTACCTAGGGTTATTTGCTTCAGCTCTCGTACTTGGGCAGACAATTTCTAATAGTTCTGTCTATTTTACTGCACTGAAGTTCTCTACAAAGCAAACTGACTAGCACTGAAACTGCAGAAATGTGGGCTAAGGAAGTAAGTAGTAAGGAGATGAAAAAAATCACCTAAAAACCCAAATTACAGCCGTATCTTCCTCACAGTAAGACTGATTCTCAGTGCTTGGAGGATAATAGCAGAAAGCAAAAGAAATAAGGGATGTCAAATGAAGAAATCAGGTTGGGAATGCCTGGGCAGAGTGATACTAATATAGCTGAAAGCCATGGAACTGCTCCAGTTTTACTCCTCAGAACCCACCAAAACTCTCTGCAGCCACTTGCCCTCCAGGAAATAATCCTTCAGTCACTGTTCTGTCTGCTCACATTCTGGCTTTATTAAATTTAAATCTTTCATTACCAGTGCTAGTCCACTGCTGCAGTGCTGGAGTGTGTCAGTTAACTCCAAGTCCTCGACAGCTCTGGCTGGAAATGCCAAAGGGTTACACATTTAATAGATACCTAAACTCCATTTTTCATTCACTCACCTCTGCTTTGCAGCTCAGCTGTGAGTTGCCTTTCCAAGCTCTCTCGTAGTTCTCGCTCTCTACAAAGCTCCATCTTTAACTCTTTCTTTTCCTGCTGTATCTGCTTTTCCTGGACTCTGGCATTGTCCACAGCCACTTTGAGTAAGCCCTAAAGCACACACACAAACACAAGCTCTGAAAACACAATGTTGTTGCAGCAATGACAAAATTCATCCATTTGTCTCTTTTACATCCTCTAGGGAAACAGAAAAATTAAAAGCAGGATCCCATAGACCTGGAGCACAACTGGGCATTTGAAGTAGATAAAATATGAGGAATTTTGTGGCATGGAATCATTGGGTATAAGTTTGGCTAATTCATCCTCCTGCTGTGGTTTGTTACAAACACAGTGCCATGTCAGTGCTGATCTTGTTCAGCTGCAGGGGGAATACACTAGAGGAATAATGAGACTGGTGAATTTTAATATGACTATTATTGCCAATTATGAAGTCAAATAGACAATGTATGAAACCCTTTCACAATCAATAATGTCAGGGAGTGGAAATCTAAGCATTATGTGAAATAGAAGAAATGAGAATTGCACATACAAAATAGTTCCTAAAACTTTTTTAAGAGTGAAAAAGAAACACATGTTATCTATCATGACACAGCCAGGCCCTGTAGAGAATAATTTACCTGAATGTTGGTTAATAGTGTTTCTACTGATGAAAGACCATCAGCAAAAAGAAATGGCGCCGGAAATCCAGGAGGCAAGGCCTGTCCAGCCAGTTGGACTTTATCTAAGGTTGGTTTCATTATTGGAATGGCAATTTGGACCTCTTCTGCAAAGATAGGTTTAAAAGCGACATCAGAAAGCATTGGAAATACAGGTGAATGTAATTTCTAGAAACCAGCATTCTCTTTACCTGGAAGTAAATACAAGTGCATTAGGAAATCGAACACTGTTTCAGCCTTTTGGGCAGCTGGGATTGTTGCCAAGGTAAGTTTGCAAAATAATACAGAACAATAATCAATATACTGAGACTGTAACACAGCTGTAATAGAGTACAGACTATTATATCTCAAATTCTACAGAATTATACTACAGAATTATAACTGTATTACGCAGTTCATTAAACCTGAATGACCTTTCTTCATTCTATCACGTTTGCCGTTCTGTGATGTGGTTTTTTTGTTGCTATAACCTTGGCAAAATTCTAATCAAGGAATGTATGACATCTCTTTACTCCTTTACCTTTACCCTTCCCATGCCCAGCAGTAAATAATCTCCACTGGGTCATCCATCCCCTCCCGCTCCCTGGTGTCAGTACAGTGTCAGTGCGGGTTCCTGAACAGGTACCCGGCTGCTGTCAGCCTCCCTAGTCACTGACAGCAGCCAAAAATGCCTTGCTGAGTTCTTTCCAAGGCAGTTAGAGAGAGAGTTGGGTGGTGGTGGGGTCACGGGAATGGCTCCTGCCCTCACTGCACAGAACTGGTGCATCTCTTACAGAGTGTAAAACCAGGACCCAGCAGCTTCTCCTTCACCCCTTGTTTCAAATATATCATGTTGGTATAGATCAAGCTGTGCTCAGACAGCAGAAATGTGTATCCAGAAAGAAACAGTAACATTAGTAACTATTTTTCAAAAATCCTCTCAATCTGGGGAAGATCACCTATGAACTCGCATCGCTGTGAGTGCTTCTTCCCACGTATTCATTTTAAACACAGAGTTAATAGCTGAAAACTGCAAAACTAAAATCTAGCAGTCCCTAAAGCCAAACTCGGCATGTTTCTTTTACCCTGAAATATAAAAGAATATTTCTGTGTAATATTCCATGAAAATCCAGCCTATATATATATATTATGATCCTGCACTTGTAGAAATCATGATGAATATCTCCTCAGCAATTGCCTTTTAGTAAAGCTTGTGCCTACTGCACTGACCAGGAGTTCATGATGCCAGTGCTTGCTCAGGGCAGCTGCACACCAGCCCTGACAGTTTCGTCTGTCAAACGTTTTGGTCACATTATTGAAGCCCAGATTTACAATTAGACTGTATCATACACAAAAGGTCTCCTTCTCCCACCCCTCTTATTTAAGGGAAAAACAACTCAGAAAGAATCTGACAACAATGACTTAACCCAAGGTGTCTCCCCAGCAGCACATTTCCTTGGGTAACAAACTTCAGGAGCTTCCATCGAGCAGCACTTTTTGCTGTGTATCTAAAACACCCACCTGACAACAAACCAGGAGCATTAGTAGTTTTCAAGTATTCTTTGAAATCTCTGTTTAGGGAGTATTTTGGTTTTGCTGTGTGAGTTCATTAAACAGAACATCTTCATAATGATTCTTCAGGACTAATAACAAAAGCCAGTAAACTCTACACATCCTCAGAGCAAACATCTTAGATGTAATTTAAATGATCCATTTAAAAAATCCCAACTCAGGTAACATGCTCAGACCACGGAGTTTGTGCTGATTCAGACACACCATTTCTCATATTTAAATATATCAGTGGCAGAGTCTTTAAAATAAACTGATTAGTTGTCGCATATGATGCAGCACAGAAATAACAGCTAAGCCATGGAGTCACAAAAAACTAAACAGAAGTGGCATTTGAAAAAGAAGGTAATACATGAAGTATGCATAAAAAAACAGGAGCTGCCTTAACACCTCTAGAAATCTCTACTATTTGGAGATGAAAGTAATAACATTAAATTGGCCGAAAGGAAAATTACTATTGACTGTGAAGACAGGTTGCATGGTCTATGGTTTGTAATGCTACTGTACAGCAGATTGAAGTTTCAAAATAGTATTACTCTTCTTTAAAGAGATAGACACAGCTAAATTAGGTGCTGCTTGCTGCAGTGAGGATCAAATGCAAAAAGAATCATATTTCATCAGACCTAGTCAACACCAGGAAAATAAATAGAAATATAAGAGGTATGCAGGCAATGATTCATTTTGATAATCTGGCCCAAGAGAGACACATAGAGACAGCACACAGATCTAAGCTTCTACCAAAAGACAAATAGGACACAGAGGGTGGGAATTGGGATGACAGTGTAGCAGAGGTCACATCGATTTTCAGCAGCAGTTTTCACACAGATGAGATAACCCTGGACTCTATTTGGCCCATTGTTCATATCCTACCTGTCCCAGAAGCAATAAATTTCCAAGTCCCAGAAAAAGGGCAGTAAAGAAGAAGGATTCTACTTATGACTTCTTATGATTAAGTTTTTGTGCTAACCAAACATGCTTTGCAGACCAAGGTCACATTGCATGTTAAAGTCTGTAATAGCTGAGACTAGAAGCAGCATATTATGTTTTAGCGTATATGGGTGGAAACTGTCAAACCATTCATCATTTTTTTTTTCTGATTGAAATCACACTCTGCAAAGATGAATGATAAATGCATTAGAAATCTATTTCAATCTTGTAATAGGTCTTCACATCTGAACGGTGTCTACATCTCGCCCATACTCTGAATAAGTGCACAGTTAGGCAGGAATTTATTAGCTAGACTTGAGGAATCATAATTGGTGAAGCAATTAAAAATGGCATGTGCTGGAAGCATTTCTTGGGGATTGTATCAAATGTGTCTCTTTAATGAAAAAAAACAATGCTGATTTAAGGATTTTGATTTTAAACACCACTAAAAATATAAATGCTAAAAGCTGCACTCACACACAGAATACAATAGAATAAGCAAGAAATAAAGCCAAGACAGCTACAGCCTGAGCAAGGACACAAACAACCTTTCTGATTATCGAGGCAAAGTGGGAACTACTTTTATCGAGCCTGTTTGTTAAACCTGCCATGCTTTATAAAAGCATTCAGGAATCCATTTAGAGTGCAGCCTTTTTATTTTAATTTCTAGCTGACATCCAGATGAATAGACGAAAGCAAGAATTATATTGCAGAGCAGAGAAATACACAGAGAACACTAACAGCGAGTGGAACATCATCCCAGCAAAGCACACAGAAATCTGCCAGCAAGTTTCTTGTTCTTAATTCAATATGCTGAAGTATTTCATCTTCTGTCTTCTGCCTAAGTTGCAGAAACAGGGATTGGCAAATGAAGCATCAGCCTAGGGACTGAACACAGCACTGGGAACAGGAGGAACACGAATCGCTCCCTCCCGACAGGGCATGGCCCAAACCAACAGGCACTTTTATTTGCCAGCTGGTTTATTTTCTCTCACAAGGCATGTTTTTAAACCCATCAGTCACACACCTGAGACACTTAACATGTCACGTCCCTCTCAAAACAAGGCAGAAATATTAAAGGTGCAATTTACACCAGTTACATCACTGAGTTATTTCTTCACATACACTTCAGAACTTTATCTACCTGGACCTGTATAAGCATTATTCACCTCAAACAGCTCACAGATATAACTCATGCATTAATACATATTTGGCATATGGAGAAGACAGAAACAATTCATACAAAATTTACAGTTATTAATCTATTAGTTACTAACCAAGACATTTGATCTCAGCCTTCAGCCAGGGTTAAGAACATGTTTTTGGACAGAGATGGCAGCTGGGTTACTCCTTTTCCCTGGCTGTGGCATAAAATTTAGAAATTTAGGGACTGAAATTCGTTATTGCAATCATAATTCTTCGAGCTTCATACCTGAGTGATGGGGATTACATTTAATGCTCCATAGTTACAGAACAGCCTGGATACTCTAATGGACCTCTTTGACTTTTAATAAAATAAGGCAGAGGATCTGCAACATCAGCTGAGTTGTCTGTGTGACTCATCTCTGAAAGGTACATATTTGAAAAAAAAGATATTTGCCCAAATATCTTACAGAATCATCCAAACTGACATATCTATAGTGGCAAGAGGTCCCTTGACTTCCAGCTCTACATTTACTTCACATCAACAGTGATAGGCAGCAGTGTACAAAGATGGGTATTTTGACAGAATTAGGGTCCAAATTCTAATTTTTTTCTGCAAAAGGCAGTTTCCAGAAAAGTGAGACTTCTTATTTTGATTTTAAACCTTGGCAACGTCTACATTCTTAACTAGAAACCAGTACATATTTTTCTTTTACAGCAAGGTCAGTACGAAACCCAGTAATCTAAAGCACTTTTTATTTCAAATATTTTGTATTTCTAAGTCTGCAAGGACAGGATTATCTGTCTTCCACGTCTTAATAACTGAAAATCCACCATAACCCTCTGCCTGCCTTTTTCTCCCTTACTCATTGCTTCTCTGCCAGGTTCCAAGACTCCTCTCATCAGTGAGAAAAGAGATACCTCCTCTGAGCCTGGCACCAATCAGACTTCGAAATTTACTGCTTTAACCTTGTGATTCAGGTGCCAAACTTAAAGTCACTGCTGTTTTTCTCAATTACAGTCCCCGAATGATGAGGGTCAATGAATGCAATTGAGGAGTAGCTGATTAATCCAGTCACCAGCTTTAAGTCAGACTTCATTTTCAAGTGACTGATACAACTCGACAGCACACAAGCATTATTCACTGCTGAGCTTTGCCATAAAAAAACTTCACTTTAAGAATAGTATCTAATCATTATATACACATTTCCTATACACTGCCAGGTTGCCTTAAAATCTGTAGAAACTATCACAAAACAGAAACATCAGCTATGCTCTGCTTCATGGAATCCATGTCCAAGCAGCTTCTCACCTATGTGCTCCAAAATCATTGATTTTGTCCTGAACAAGTGTTTAATAAAACTTTTTCACTGTTTTCAACACAGTGGAAAAATGCAGAGTCATAGAATTATTGAGGCTGGAAAAGACCTTTAAGATCGAGTGCAATTATTCCCCCAGCACTGCCAAGGCCACCACTAACCCATGTCCC